TTTTCATGGCAATTGCTATTAGATAGAATCCTTACAAAGGTAAACTTGGCAATGCGTGGGATTTTAGAGGGAAATCAAAATATAAAGTGTCTTTGTTGCGATCAATTCCCTAAACATATAGATCACCTTTTTGTGTCTTGCAACATCTCTTTCAAATTATGGACAAAATGTCTCAACTGGTGGGGATTACATTACATACTCAAGAATATGTATCTAGATATTTTCAACCACCACAGATGGCACAAGGGTTCAAAGACTCTAAAAAAGGGTTGGAACATGTTATGATTCACCATAGTGCAGTCATTGGGGTTGAGTAGAAATGAAATTTCTTTTCAACACAAGAAGATTAATGACGACAAGCTATTTAAACTTGTACAAAGCTAATTATTTCACTAGTTTAGAACTTTGTTGAACTTAGATTTTTCTTTCATGGAATGAATTTTTAATCCAGTGAGATGTCTGATTAATAAGAAATAGATGTTGAAAACTGATGCAAAGTGGTTATTGTCTTTATCTAATTTGTTTTTAGTTTGTTATTTAGTTTGAATAAGTCTTCTTGATTTTTCTTCAGAGAGTGGGGTAGTTGCTGTTTTTTAGGATAATTTGTTAAGTTAGTTTTGCCCATAATTTCAGTTAGAGTACAGTACGTGGGTATCATGTTACAATCCCACTACTTAGAGTTCCAGTACATATTTGTATGTTTTTTCAATGAATTGAAGTATTTTGAAAGTCATCTTTTACTTCTCAATCACTTTGTTATCTACCTCCATTTTTCTGTTCTTCTCCAACAAATTATGGTATCAGAGCACCAGGTTCGATTGGTGTTTTTTGTGAAGTTGAGACCATTGTTGAAGCAAAGGGATCTCAGAAGCTGTAGCTATTTTCATCATGGCCAGCAATTCAAATTCATTGAATTTGTCCCAATCCTTGGTACCCATATTCAATGGAGAAAACTATGTTTTTTGGAGTACTAAAATGAAGACCTTTTTTGTCTCACAAGATTTGTGGGATCTTGTGGAGAATGGGTTTGCTGAAACCGAGAAGTCACCAGCAGCAGAGGTGAAAGATCTTCGGAAGAAGGACGCAAAGGCATTGCTTGTATTGCAGCAAGCGGTAACTGACTCAATCTTTCCTCTGATTGCAAATGCCACAAAGTCAAAGGAAGCTTGGACCATTCTGAATCAGGAGTTTTATGGAGATGACAAGGTAACAATTGTGAAACTTCAAACTCTACGTAAAGAATTTGAAAACTTATGCATGAAAGGAAGTGAGTCAGTTCAAGATTTCTTTAGTAGAGTTTCTGTCATTATTAATCAATTGAAAACTTATGGTGATCAAGTTGATGATCGTAAAGTTGTTGAGAAGGTTTTGAGGTGTCTACCATCTAAGTTTGATCATGTTGTAGCTGCTATTGAAGAGTCAAAGGATTTCTCTGTTTATTCTCTTAATCAATTGATGGGCTCACTTTTAGCACATGAAGAGAGAATGAACAGGTTTGCAGAGAAGAACATGGAGCAAGCCTTTCAAACAAAGGTAGAGATCTCTAGCCAGGAGAAAAATGATCACAGAGGCTCTACTAGTAGAGGAAGAGGTAGAGGAGGCTACCGTGGCCGTGGACGAGGCCAGGGGGGATCAAGCTCAACTCATCAGAAGTACGAGAATGGACAAAGAGGCAACCATAAGCAGAATTATAAGTGGAAGCAGTGCCATTTTTGCAAGAAACATGGGCACATCGAGGCAAACTGTTGGGAGAAGGCAAAGCAACAAGCAAACTTTGTTGAAGAAAAAGAAGTTGAAGAGAACTTGTTCCTCACCAGTTTAATTCCAAATGTTAGCAATTCTGACTTGTGGTTTCTTGATAGTGGATGTAGTAATCATATGACAGGTGTTAGAGGCCTTTTCCGGAATTTCAATGAGACAGTGAAGTTGAAAGTTCGGCTTGGAGACAATAAGCAGGTGCAAATTGAAGGCAAGGGAACAATTGCAATTAGAACCAAGTCAGGTATTGAAAAGTTGATTCATGATGTTTATTACATACCTAACTTGGCACATAATTTGCTTAGTGTGGGTTGGTAGAGAATGGGTATTTGGTTGAATTTCATGATGGCTTGTGTGAAATCAAGTGCAGCAAATCTGATATGTCTCTTGCTAAGATTCCCATGGCTAAAAATAAAATGTTTCCACTTGAGATCTCATGTTTGAATGACCTTGCACTTGTTGCAAATGTTAAAGATGACTCCAAGTTATGGCATATGAGATATGAGCATTTGCATTTTAATGGGTTGAAATTGTTGAGTCAGAAAAAGATGATTTATGGTTTGCCCTCTATTATTCCTATTGATGATGTTTGTGAAGGTTGTGTTTATGGGAAACAGCACAGAAATGCATTTCCAGTTGGGAAAGCATGGAGAGCAAAGGAGCCTTTGGAGTTAGTACATGCTGACATTTGTGGGCCAATGAGAAATTTGTCTTTGAACAAGAGGAAATATTTTTTATTGTTCATTGACGATTTTTCTCGTATGAGTTGGGTATTTTTCCTTGTTCAGAAGTCAGAAGCTCTTGAGAAATTTCAAGAATTCAAAGCTTTTGCAGAGAAAGAATGCGGCCATCAAATAAAAATTCTTCGAACCGATAGGGGAGGAGAATTTTTATCTAATGAGTTCGGTAGTTTCTGCAAGTAGAATGGGATCAAGAGGCAACTTACTGTAAGAAGAACTCCAAAGCAGAACGGGGTTGCTGAAAGGAAAAACAGAACAGTTGTGGAGATGGCAAGGAGCATGTTGAATGAGAAGAAACTTCCACAAACCTTCTAGGCTGAAGCAGTTACTACTGTTGGTCATATTCTCAACATTTCTCCAACAAAGGCAGTGCGAAATATGACTCCATATGAAGCATGGTGGAAACGGAAGCCCAATGTAAGTAGTTTGAGAGTTTTTGGTTGCATTTCTTATGCCATGATAGCTTCTAATGATCGTACAAAGATGGACCAAAAAAGTGAGAAGTGTATTTTTGTTGGATATAGTTGTGAGTCCAAGGGTTATCGTTTGTATAATCCTATTACTAAGAAGCTGATTATTCGTAGAGATGTTGTTTTTTATGAGAACAGTGCATGGGAGTGGAATGAAGGAAAGATTCAGCACTTGTCATATGAAGAAAGTGAATCCAGTGAGCCACAAGCAGAGGAGACGGAAGTTGGCCAACAATCTTCTCCTACATTGAGTTCTCCAACAAGGTCACCACAATCTGCTCCAACTCCTCAACCTCGAAGGATGTTCACTAGAAGCATGTCTGGTGCCATTCTTAGGAAGGAAAAACCTTGGGAGCAAGTTTATGACCTAGATACTTATGCACTTCTGGTGGCAGAACCTACTTGCTATGATGAGGCATATGGAAAACAGGAATGGGAAAATTCCATGAAGGAGGAGATAGATTCGATTGAGAAGAACAACACTTGGGAGCTTGTAGATAAACCAGAAGGGAAGACTCCAATTGGTGTGAAGTGGGTCTATCGAGTGAAGTATAAAGCAAATGGGAGTGTGCAAAAATACAAGGCAAGACTTGTGGCCAAAGGCTATGTGCAGAAACATGGTATTGATTTCCTTGAAACTTTTTCTCCTATTGCTAGATTTGAGACTGTTAGATTGGTGATAGCATTAGCAGCTCAAATGAAATGGAAGATTTTTCAGTTTGATGTTAAATCTACTTTCTTGAATGGTTGGTTAGAAGAAGATGTCTATGTTGAGCAGCCTGAAGGATTCATTGTTCAAGGTAAAGAAGAAAAGGTGTACAAGCTCAAGAAAGCTCTTTACAGACTCAAGCAAGCCCCACGAGCCTGGTATGGTAGACTTGATTCATACTTGCATGATAATGATTTTCATCGCAATGAAAATGAGCCCACTTTGTATGTGAAGATGAAAGGAGGTGATATTCTCATTATTTGTGTTTATGTGGATGATATTATTTACACTGGTTCTTCTAACATTCTTATTGAAGAATTTAAGAAGAATATGTCTGCTGAATTTGACATGTCTGATTTGGGGCTACTGCATTATTTCCTTGGGTTACAAATTTACCAAACTGATTATGATATTTTTGTTTCACAAGAGAAGTACGCATTGGATTTGCTGAAAAAATTCAACATGCAGAATTGCAAGATGTCTACTACTCCTATGAATACGAATGAGAAGTTGACAGTAGATGATGGAACTCCAAGAGCTAATGAGAAGTATTTTAGAAGTATGGTTGGCGGATTAATGTATTTGACTCACACTAGACCTAATATCATGTTTTCAGTTAGCTTGGTTTCAAGGTTCATGCATAATCCCTCTGTGCATCATCTTGGAACAGAAAAATGAATTCTCTGTTACATCCGAGCAACAAGCAACTTTGGAATTTGGTACAAGCCAGTGCCTAACTTTAAATTGCTTGGTTTTACTGATAGTGATTGGGCAGGTTCTGTAGATGACAGAAAAAGCACAAGCGGATATATATTTAATCTTGGCTCGGGTGCTGTATCTTGGAGTTCAAAAAAGCAAGAATGCACTGCATTATCTTCCTCTGAAGCAGAATATGTTGCTACTTCATCAGCTGCTTGTCAAGCAATTTGGATGCGAAGGATTATGAAAGATTTGCAACAAGTTCAAGAGAAGGCAACAAAGATCTTCTGTGACAACAAAGCAACAATTTTAATGACCAAGAATCTAGTGTTTCATGGAAGAACAAAACATATTGAGCTGCATCATCACTTTATCCGAGGTGCTGTTGCAGATGGATTAATTGCTTTGGAGTATTGTTCAACAAGTGATCAAGTCGCTGATGGATTTACTAAAGGAATCTGTTTTAGTAAATTCATGAAGTTCCATAACTCACTCGGAGTTGCAAAGTTTGCATCAAGGGGGGATGTTGAAAACTGATGCAAAGTGATTATTGTCTTTATCTAATTTGTTTTTAGTTTGTTATTTAGTTTGAATAAGTCTTCCTGATTTTTCTTCAGAGAGTGGGGTAGTTGTTGTTTTTTAGGATAATTTGTTAAGTTAGTTTTGCTCATAATTTCAGTTAGAGTACAGTACGTGGGTATCATGTTACAATCCCACTACTTAGAGTTCCAGTATATATTTGTATGTTTTTTCAATGAATTGAAGTATTCTGAAAGTCATCTTTTACTTCTCAATCACTTTGTTATCTATCTCCATTTTTCTGTTCTTCTCCAACAATAGAAGCTACAAGGAGAACTGGAGTCCAAGTGTCTTATTTTGGAGTGTTTTTGGCTTTATGTATTTAGACCACATTTCTAGCTTTAGCTTTACACATTGATATTTTATGGGTTTGAGTACCCTTGTACTCACATAATAAAATTTCTTTTGCTTTTCAAAAAAAAAAAAAAAGAGTAATGGATTGGGAACATAGCCGCCCTCTTTTGAAAGTAAGCACATTTTCACGA